GCTTGAAAATTTAATGGCAACTTTTATAACCTGTAGAACATGCTGAACAGGGCCTTGCATTCTAAGAAATCAAATGAGGGATATAGGGACACGTTTGTTTATAAAATACAGTCTAACATTTTCATTGTCAATGACATAAGGTCACAGTCAAGGTCACCGAAACATTTGTGGGGCAGCATGGTGGAATCAGGCTCTCGTCAATTTTTGGGCATGAAGAGTTATTGGCATCATCTTAAGACTTGTTCACTTGTCTTTGTTTGGTTGAAAAATATATCCATTTATCTTGAATACAAGTCGAGATTTTTGTGAATGGAGAAGGTGGGGGTCATCTGTTTTCAGAGGTAAAATTAGTTTAAAAATGGCCGCCAAAGATTAATTATTTCTTTAAGTTAAGGGTCCGAGGTAACTGAAAATTTACAATTTTAGTGCCTTTAATCAACGTTTTTCAGAAAATCCACAAAGAAATGAGTTCTTTAATGGGCATGAAAGGTGTTGAGCCAAAAAACAAAAATTTGATAAAAATTCACAAACCTGCGGCAAAAATGCAAGTTTCTTCACTTTGATTATTTTGACAAGAGCCTGATTCCACCACGCTGCCTCACATTTATTTTTTTACCTGCAGTAATGTAAAAATATTCTTCAACTCTTAAAAGCTTTCAGAAAATGTTATCAGTAGGCTACTGGTACCTCATTTGCTGGCTTCTGTTGCTGTTCTGTATTTTCTTATCCTTATTAGCATACTGGAGAACCTTAAATAAGCCTTGACATCACAGCACATTGTATTGGGCACTTGGAGGGTTCATGAGATGTCTCATGCAATGTGTATTTATATATATATATATATATATATATATATATATATATACAGTATTCTCCGCCTAAACGCATGCCATACAAAAGCACGCTCCGTTGAAACGCACGCTTTTGTCATCTGACGGGTTTTTTACAAAATAATTTAGACGTACAAACGCACGGTCACTCCCTCTAAACACACGCTCTGATCCGCGAAACACGCAGACAGGTTTTAAGCTTGACAACAGGACAATTTTCAAGTGCTACAACCTGCCCAGTTTACATAAGACAAGCCTGGACAACCTGCCCAGTTTACATAAGACAAGCCTGGACAACCTGCCCAGTTTACATAAGACAAGCCTGGACAACCTGCCCAGTTTACATAAGACAAGCCTGGACAACCTGCACAGTTTACATAAGACAAGCCTGGACAACCTGCACAGTTTACATAAGACAAGCCTGGACAACCTGCACAGTTTACATAAGACAAGCCTGGACAACCTGCACAGTTTACATAAGACAAGCTGGACAACCTGCACAGTTTACATAAGACAAGCTGGACAACCTGCACAGTTTACAAACATAAGACAAGCCTGGACAACCTGCACAGTTTACAAACATAAGACAAGCTGGACAACCTGCACAGTTTACACAAGACAAGCTGGACAACCTGCACAGTTTACTAACATAAGACAAGCTGGACAACCTGCACAGTTTACATAAGACAAGCGTGGACAACCTGCACAGTTTACATAAGACAAGCTGGACAACCTGCACAGTTTACAAACATAAGACAAGCTGGACAACCTGCACAGTTTACAAACATAAGACAAGCTGGACAACCTGCACAGTTTACATAAGACAAGCTGGACAACCTGCACAGTTTACATAAGACAAGCTGGACAACCTGCACAGTTTAAATAAGACAAGCTGGACAACCTGCACAGTTTACATAAGACAAGCTGGACAACCTGCACAGTTTACATAAGACAAGCTGGACAACCTGCACAGTTTACAAACATAAGACAAGCTGGACAACCTGCACAGTTTACATAAGACAAGCTGGACAACCTGCACAGTTTACATAAGACAAGCTGGACAACCTGCACAGTTTACAAACATAAGACAAGCTGAACAACATGCACAGTTTACATAAGACAAGCTGGACAACCTGCACAGTTTACATAAGACAAGCTGGACAACCTGCACAGTTTACAAACATAAGACAAGCCTGGACAACCTGCACAGTTTACATAAGACAAGCCTCGACAACCGGGTATTTGGTGAGCGTGCCCCTCACGCCGGACAAAGAGAGCGATGGACAGCGTTATCACACCCAACTTTCCACAGACACATAGGTCTAGGGCTGGTCGAGGGAGGGGGGGGGGGGACAACTGTTTTTTGATTGGTCCCTGGAAATGCATCTTTGAGAGAAGGTTTCGGACTGGTATTTGAGTGACTGCGTGTAATATTTAGTTAACCTAGGCCTAATGCGCAACACGTGTGAATGCTGTAAAACACTAGATAAGCCTCTGTAGGATTTAAGATTAGCCAAGTAAGCCTAATCAGCTGTGCTCGAAGAACTTATATTCTTATAACGTACCTGATGAATGAATTTCAAGAGAAATGTTTCTCTGAATGTAGAGCTATGTTTCTGATGTCGTCCATGAATTTACAGTTCGCGGTGGTTGCTTGGAAAGCCCGTGGCTGGGCCACGTCTCTATGACTATCGCCAACAGTTTCCTCTTAGCTGTTCCCGACGTTTTATGGTGCATATTCATTACATTGAATCTGTCTTTCAACGCCTTTGTATTCTTAACCGCAGTCGGGGAATCCTTCACAAAACAGTCATGTGTCGTCACATTATCGGCCAAAATGACCCTCACCCCAAAGGGAGGTCACTAGAATATCAAGGCCATGAGATGACTGCGTCTCTTCCTCCCCTTGCATAGGTTCATGTAAACGCACGCTCCATATAAACACACGCTAAGGAGCCCTCCCGAGCACCGTGTGTTTAGGCGGAGACTACTGTGTATGTATAT